GCTGTGGAAAAAAGTTACCCACTAGTCTGTCCTGACAGGGAGGGTGTTGCTAGTAGGAAGGAAAGTTTTTCCCAGCTGCTGGAAAGAGCGGCTGACTAGGATTTTGACAGCTGTTTTGGGAGTCCACCTGGGGAACTGGTGGGGTTGTGGTAGCTAAGAAAAGCTAGTAAGGGGATTCACATATGGCCTGACGGGCAGTGTGGCAAAGAGCATCCATGCTGCAGATACCATGCCTGTTTTGAGTGCTAGCTCCTCTGCCCCTGGCTCCTCAGAGACGTGTGTCCAAACTGAGCTGCGGTTTCTCTGCTCTGCTCTCTCCTCTGCCACTCTCACCAGCCCCACCAATGTGCAGCACATTGCACGAGCATGTTTTCTTTTCCTCCAGCTTACTCCTTGGATTTACCTTCCCCTCTCCAGATTGTCTCTGTAAACTGGGGCTTCAGGGGCAGAAATAGCGTGGCAGGTTATAAATCCCAGTGAGCAGGAGGGCAATGAAATGCAGTATGCCACAGGGCAGGGGCAGTTCCTTCATTCAGATGTTTGGCAAAACTGGTATCTTTATTACTGTTCTCACTGAGACATTTATCTGCCACCACTGAGACCTTACCCAGTCTGACCCCAGCAGTGCCCAGGCGACCTGCTGGGGCCACTGCTCAGTCCCCGCTCAGATCCAGCAGAGAGAGTCCTGGGAAGAGCAGCCAGTCCCGAGCGGATCTCCCACCTCTAGTACGCCTGGAGGGGTGTGGGGCAGCCCTAGGGTGGTGAAGGGCTTCAGGACAAGCAGGCAAATTGGTGACCATCACACAAAATACAGGACATGCAGCACTTTTGAGCAGCTGTGACCCCTGATCAGCTGAAAAGGATTTTGAAAGCAAGATAAAGGGATCACCTCCCACCGTGGTTCCCCTGCAGAGGCACTGCAGATAGCAGGTTAGGGTTAATTTGTTTTCTGAATTAACTAGGAATTTTGGAGGCTTGAAGCAATTGTGCTTTGTTTTGTTTTGTTTTTCAGGTTTATCTCAACAATCCTTTTTGCCTGCGAGTTTTTGGTAGCGTCTTCTCAATCAGAACTTAGCTGGAGGGGTGGGGAGAGTTTATTGTGTTAATAACGTGTGCTGGTTACTGATCCCTTTCCCCAGGCAGTGAAAACTTTCCTACGATCGATATCTTGGGTGGTGAAAGTGTTCTTTAAAAAAAGCCCTAGCAAATATATATATATATTTTTTTAATTAAAAATCAAATCTATAATAAAAGCAGCAATATCTTGCACTTCTCTAGCCCTTTCCCTCCTAGTTCTCAAAGAACAGCCTCAAAAGCACTTCTCTGGAGTCAGAGCAGGTCAGAGCTGTCCTTTATACAAGCTGCCTTTTCTTTCCCAGGTTGTTGCCCTTTCTTTGCTCCCTCATACTTCCCCTTTCTTTTCTCCCCACCTCCTCTGCCACCAGCCAGCTCAGCAGAGTCGCCGCGATCCTGCTCTTTGGAAAATGAACGGGTGCATCACAGATGGTTTTTTTCCAGACCTTGGGGTTGCTCTTCTTGACAAAGAACAGGATCTTGGTGACAGCCCTGCAGAGCAGGCTGTACCCTGCCCTTGAACAAGCAGCAGTGCATCATGTCATGCTCAGAGCGCGCCGCCTCACTCCCTCGCCTCTCTCTGTGTCAGGCTTTTCAAGTTTCTACAAGAAAAAAAAAAGAAAGCTTTCATTCTACAAGGCCAGCATCCAGTTCATATTTTTTATATCGCAAGGAAAATGATAAGCCAGGATATAACAATGACCTACTTCACGTCTTGATAAAATAATTTCCTCTCTCTGACATTTTCCTCAAAGAATAATATTTGACTAACGCAAGCATGGAAGATAGAGCAAGAGCTTTTCTGTGAACTGTCTGATAATACGTCAGATTCAGCCCTGAGACAGACAAGTGCCACCCTGTTGACCTATGTGGAGTTAAGCCTGTTTATCCCCCAGCTCAGAGCTCTGAAAACAATTGGGTTCAAACCTGTAAGATGTGTGCATGCGATAGGGCCGAGGCCGAAAGCTTCGGAGACAGCGGCTATCTGTTACAGCATCCCTCCATCAATGCACCCTCAGCCCACCGCCAGCACGGCTGCCTGGGAGCTGCTCTGGCTTGCTGCTGTGGTGCAAACGGGCCCCCCCCTCTGCAAAACAACCGGTTAGCTCATCCTCTTACACAAAAGGCTACTGTATTTGGTAGGGAACATTACAGTATAGGGCAACCATGCAGCTCTGAATCCACTCACGCCCCCCCTCCCCGAGCACAGAAACAATGCAGACCGTTATAGCTATCTCACTGGAGCCTACTTAGCTCAAACCATGACTGTATTTGTCTACTGAAGGTGTTTAAAAATGTGCACGTGGCATTTTTCACTCGCAGCATTTGCATGAAGAGCTTTCTCACATCATCTTTCGCCACCGTTCAAGCGGATTGTCACCCAGTGCATATTGCTCGCCCTCTCATCTCCCACCTACAGGAGTTTTCCTTGTGGTTGTGCATCTTTCCTCTTAATGAGTTCTCATCGCAGCATTGATATGGGCCACAGACTTGCCATTTGTCACTGCAGATAAGAAGTGACATTGCTCAGGCATCCTTGTGTCCTCAGTTGAGTCATATTCCGTCCTGGTGTCAGAGATCACAATATGTCTACTCACCTTCAGCTGGCACACTGTCCAAAACGGACAGAAATTCATCTGCTGTCATGACTCCAGCATGCCATGACACACTGCCCAAGATGGCCAAAGCCGACCAGCATACAGTATTTACTGTATTTGCCGTCAGCTTATTTACTGTCAGCGTATTTACCGTATGCTGACTTCCAGCATCACATGCCATTCCACAGTACTAACAAGGTACCTGATTTATGGCATGCGGCCGAGAGTAAAATATAGTTAAAATTTAATTATAGTTCTCCTTTTATTTCTTTCCTTGCATAAACGTGGTATGAACCGAGTCTGGTCTATTGAGTTTTCTCCAATTTCTTGTTCCTCAAGGTGGAAAGTTCCTCTGGATTTCTAGAGATAGAAAACTACCAACTGCTGGGCTCTGGCAGGAGAAGGGTAACAAGCATCTGGGCATGGCGATGGAGACTCCTCTTGGCATCTCTGCTCCTCAGGCACAACGGGCCTTTCTATCAAAGCTCATGTGTGTGGGAGAACTTTCTCGGGCGCTGCTCGGAGCCTGAAGACTAAACTCTCACAGGGAACTGGAGTCTTAAAAGCCATACCTTTTCCCATTGTAAGTGCCTTTTGTTAGCATTGCCTTGTCTTGTGTAGAGATGCAGCTTTGTATACACTCAGAACCATGCAGAATAAAAATGAGACGCGGGACTTGCAAATGTGGCTCTGCCCCCTGCACAGAGCAGTAGGGAGCAAATGCACCAGACATAACAGCACCTGGTCTCCATGCTCCATGCAGTTCTTCAGAAATGACTGAAGATATTATTCCTTGTTTTGTGTAGATCCTGACTACCTTCAAAGTTTCACTGAAGCAATTTGTTTTCAATTCAGAAGAAGGGACACAAGTCTCTGTGTAATTAATTCACCCATTTTCCTCTTGGCTCAGCTGAAGGAAAAGAAGGACCTATAACAATTTTTGGTACTGGGATTGGTACCTGATTTTGATCAGGGATGTGATTTGTCACCTGTATCACTCCTACACCAAGCTATGTGGTTCACTGTTGAAACAGCATTGGTGCTCAAGATGTTACCACACTACAGGTAGCTCTGAGCCCCCTCGACCATTACAGCAGAGCAGCCACACAAAGGCTTCTCACCCTTTTCAGTGAAACATCTGCACGGCTGAAGCTGTCTAATACCAAATTAAACAAATGCTGTGGCTTTGCAGCCAGGTGGCTGTGGAGCATGCAGACTTTAGGGCTCTGCTATGGAGGGAGCAATGCCGGGAACAAGTGTGGCAACAGGCTGCCGTGGTGGTAACCTTTCAAACAGCTGCAGCTGTTTGCAATGCGAGCCTGCACCTACACACGTAATGTTTTTCCCTTTCCCGACAAGAATAAGCCATACTAGCATTATCCCGGCACAACTGCATCCATACTCTGGGGAGTTAGCTGCAACAGTATTGTTAAAGCAATTCAGCTTTTGTAGGTAGACAGGCTATAAATACACTAAATTAAAATAGAATGCTTTTTTTCTAACCTAGGCATCCCCACGAGGACTTGCACCAAAATAACCAAAGGTACGAATTAAGCCATTTCTGTTATTTTATTATATGCCTGAGCGCAGGCAGGCTCCCACTCCGATCCTTCTGGCTGTCGATCCTGGCAAAGCTCAGCTGCCCACGTGATCTCCTCTTCTCAGGCTTCATCACAGGGGGATCAATATGTGAAAGCACCTGACAGGGAAATGCTTCTTGGTTGTAGTCGGGTGCCCTGCGATGCCTCTCTCTGGTGCTAACTCCTGTACGTGACAGCACCGTCTTTGTTCATTTAAGGGAAGGTAATTCTGCAGGACTGAGGAGTCCCACAGGAGGATCAGTGATCCCTATGGGTCTTGAGCATGAGGGTCACGCTGAGGCCCTGTGCTCTGCTGGCTGCTGTGCTCTGTCCCTGCCTGCCTGCGCTCCCCGCAGGGAGTGGGTAGGCGATGCCCCGGCGCAGGGCTCCGGGGGAGCTGTTTCTTCCCCACCCCTCCAACTGCACGCACAGGGTGTCCAACCCGGGGTCTTCCCAGCTGCCTTCGGCCAGGGAGGACCTTGGCTCTGGCCCTGCTTTTGGAGTGCCCCAAATGTTGTCTAGAGTGCACGAGTGCCGCAACCCCACGGACAGCCACAGCAGCTGTTCCCATGGAAGAGGCCAGCACACATAAGAAAGCAAGATTAGCTGTACCGAGTGCTTATTTCCATGAGGCAGGGCCTTCGGTGGTCAGACCACAGATCCAGGGTTTATAGAAGGAGGAAGACGACAGCCCCATAGGCCCAACATTTCCAGCTCCGCCAGTGAGCATGGGACAGGCAGCTGGGGCATGACGGGCAGCAGCAGCACGCGCTGCAGTACGAAACCAGCTGCATCCCGTGGGCTCGCATTTCAGTGCGGGGAATGGGGAAACAGCGCTCCAGGTCGCACTAGGAACTCACTGATGCTGAAAACAGTAAACTGAAATCCCAACGCTTATGTCGTTTAAGCTACCTGTACTTGACGTCTGCAAAATGAGGATACTAGCAGCTGTATCCCAGATTCTCCAGGTGGCACCGTTCATGTGTGTGCAGGGCTGTTAAGGTCCCCAGAAGAAACGTGTTAATAATGGTCCCAATTTAGGGCAGAGCCAAACTTTTCAGCAGCCTTTCATTTTCTGTGCTCAACCGCAAAACTTTCCAAGGCCAACTTATTTCAACAGTGCTAAAAACGTAGTCCCCCCTTTCCCGCGGCACACGGCCCACTTTATCCCTCCCCAGGCCTGCGGGTGGGAGCTTACGGAGCGCCCGCTGCTCCCGCGGCAAACACGCCGAGAGTACCCGCCGAAACTTAACTGCCCTCCCGCCCGGGCGAGTCCTATCGGCGGCCCTGTACCCGGCGGGGGCGAGGGGCTCCCCCGCCCCCGGGCGCCTTCGGGCACGCAGGGGAAGCCCCCGGCCCGCGGCGCCCCGCCGACGCGGGCGGACGGA